CTTCTCTAAAAATTGTAAAAGATACTGCTCAGCAACTGCAGTTCCACTCCTCAAATGCAGCCTTATTGAAGCTGAAATGTAGCCACTGCTTAGTGATCCAGCTCTGTGTAATCCCTGTCAGGAAGCAAACAGTGACAAAATGAAACTTCTGGAAAAAGTATTAGCTGAGACACATTGTACAGTAGTTTAAAACGTCAGTTGTAGAGAATATAAAACTCGTCCCAGTGTTTGCTGACTTTTCCTTTCAAATTTCTTCATCTCATTAGAGTAACTCTACTTTGCTATTGTTCTCCATCACTTTTATTTTCTTATTAAAGATTCCATATCAAAGTCCAAAAACTGCATCTAGCTGCATCTTCTTTTATAGAACTGGAAGGTTTGGCTGGGCCCTCTGGCCACAAAGACCTGCTTCGGTATTATAGAGCAAATTATTTTCCTTTCTTTCTACTCCCTTTCTGTACTCTTCACCAACTCAGAGTGGTCCTGTCTAGCTCTGAGTCCTCTGGAACCAGTTCCTTCTCTGCCATATGCAGGGTGATTCAGAAGGATGTATCGTCTCTGAAAAAAAAAAGATGCACTTAGAGAAAGCTAAGATCCCTTTTTGCTTTTAATGTCAGACATGAGCACTGTTCCAGCTCTTTACCTTCTGCTTTACAAGCCCATTGTAACTCCATCAAAAAGCACACATAGATTACTAACTTTTGGGAGCAATGAAAATCATACATTTTCTCTTAGTCAATCAGTGGAAAAGAAAAGAGCAAAAAGTATCTACAAGAAAGAAAAGATGTAAGCTGTAAGGCTGGGGATGGTCCCACATAGCTATTGCAGGATAACCAACCCACTGCATAATATTTCTATGACAAGTGCTAATGGGTTTTAGATGTCAGGTGCTGTAGCATAGCCCATTATCTACACAAAGAAATAACCAGTATTTTTTATTTGCTTCACAAAAATAGTTCCCCTCCTGTTGCTGCCTGCTGAACAGCACCTGCCTGGGGTGCACGTGAGTGGGAGAGAAGTGCTGCAGTCTGACTTGCTTGGCAATCAGATGGAGACTTGCACTCCCTGCATGTACTTCCCTCTTTGATTGTAGGATTAATGCCAATTCCAGGCAACAGGGTGTGTTCTGAGGTGAACTTAGCAGTACAAATACTTCTTGATCTATCACCAGCACAGTGTAAACTGTGACCCCTTCTGCTTCCCTAGACAGGGGCTTGAAAGCATAAATGTGTATTTGTGTACATGTGCATATCTGTGCATATATTTACCCCTTTGTAAATCATGTGACCATGCATGCTTGTACTACTATCACTGAATGTTGTTTTACCATTGGTATTTTATGTTTGTTTTCTTTTTGATGTTTCTTTCAGAAATCTAACCAAATTAAAACAGTAACAAAATGTTTCAGCTGTAGCTAATCCTTCCAAAGTCATTGCTCCAGTAAAGCTAACAGAAGTACATGCCAGTGTTTTTGATTCTCACCCATGTTAAGTATCAGTTTCTTCTTGCAAACAGCACATATACATACATACACATGTTCATGAATATACAGCTTGAAGAGAAATAGTGAAGTCTGTCCCTGAGTCATTTCCTTGACATTTGGTTTTGAAAAATATCTTTGGCAATCATTCAGGACCATGTGGTAGCCAGGGCCATGTCCAAACCACCTGAGTTTGGACTTCCCTGTTGGCAGTCAGCACTCTGATTATTAATTCTCTGCAGATGTCAACACTTCTCATCTGGTAGGATCTAATGCCCTGAGTGTAACTTGTTAGCATGCAAGTGCCTCACAAAAAATTGCATGGAAGTTCTCCCTAGATGATACTCAAAGATGAGTTATAAAAGATGGCTGAAGCAATACTAGAACACAGTCTCTTTTCCAAATACAATGTGGAAACACTGTGCATTCCATGTTGTAACAGTCCAATGAAATCTATTTAAAGTACTAGCAAAGGTGAATTAGCCTCTTCAGAAATGAATCTGATACTGACATATGCTATACTTCTGTGCTTATAGGGCATCATTAAGATTCCTTCGCATGGCATAGTAAAAAAGCAGTGTGTATGCTAGTAGTTAGGCAGAAAATAAAAACACACGGAATTGCAAGGATGGAACAATACATCCTTGTTGGGTTTGGCAAAGCATGATCTTTAGTGATGACAACCTAAGAAACTTGGGGTCAATCCCACAAAGGCTTACACATATGCTTATATTTATGTATAACTCATGCATGCAAATCATTACTGTGCTGTAAAGCCTGAGGTGTGATCTTGCCATTGTTGGAGTTAATAGATGGGAGTTTCCGTGTAAGCCAAGTTATCTGTGAGCCAGCATCACTGTTCTGGACACGGCTAACATAGTAAATTAGCCACACAGATGTTGTGAACTTCAAAATAGTGCTTTCCTCTAGGTTTGAGATGAGAAAGAAATCTTAGAAAGAAAACTTAGTTAGTAGTGCTATACTATTTTTTGTGAATTTACTATGGTATCATCTCAAGGCCCAAATTCACAGCCTTCTTTATACTATAAAGTCACAAGCAATTGTTCCCTGGAGTGCAACCTTTTTTTTTTTTTTTTTTTTTTTTTTTTTTTTTTTTTATACAGAACTCTGCATTTGAAATCATGAACTGGTATAAGTTTGAAATAGTTTGGGCTTAATTGGGAGCTCTGACACCATAAGGCCTTGATCCTAATATCAGTTCCAGCACTAGCTTAGGTAGGGATGAGAGATGCATCAGTCACTTCTCCTCTTTTTGGTTTAGTGTCACTGTCCATAGCAAGGCATGTAGTTCTAGTCTACACAGTGATTGAAGTTGTGTAAAGAAATTTTATTGCATGGGTCATTAGTGCTAGAGCAGGAATACTTGTCACTATTTAAGAAAAAAAAATAGAAATGTTATATTACTGCACAAGAACCATACAGCATTGAACAGACGATGATGAGGCAGTTAGGATATAGCCATTTGGTTGTTGCATTTGGAATTAGCACTGATCAGAATTTAATTTCCATTTCTTGTTCTAATTTGCATCTTCAGCCCCATTTGTTTGGGAGCTGACCAGCGGAAGGCTCATGTCAGTAAAAGTCCAGTATTTCTTTCTGTCCTCAAAAAAGTGTCAAAAGTACACATCTTCTCCCCTGCTTTTTCCTCTCATGCATATACACACTCTATAATGTCTGCTCCTCAGGACATAGGCATAAATAATCCACAATCATTTGTGTCTTATTTAAAGAAGCTTTTCCTTTGGTCTCTTAGGACAATGAAATGGAGTGAAAGTGGCACTCTAATAGAGAAGCCCAGTAAAGAAATAGGAATGTCTGAAGCCTGAGCACCTCGCAAGAGTGGCTTTGAATCTGCATCCATGCAGGGAGAGGTTTTGTGCTACCATCTGCTTAAGAAGAAAAATAAATGGAAGAAATAGAAAATAGTTTATTGCTCTTGTCCTATCAGGTTAAGTTAAAATGAGGTATCAGCACTACTACAAAATTGTAGGAAAAACAGCAAACGTGTTAACTGCTGGTCCACCATTCCTGTGCTCTCTAATTATTTTATGAAAAAACAGCAGCACCCACCTAGTCATAGAGTTTTATTTGGTGTCTGTAGAAGAATTAGTCCCACTGGGGCAGTATAGCCTAGTTTCATGCAGTTGTGTAATGAGGGATCCTCCTGCAAAAAGCTGGTACTAGATGACAGGGGACTTTGATTTCTGTTTGGAATCATTCAGCTTACAGATTGAAACAACTGTCTGAGTTTGGTGATGTGAAGAAAGTGAGAGTATATATTGCTGCCCGATTTCAGAAGTACATCTGCAGCCACTCCTTTCCGCGTGCAACACCTATGCAAAAAGTGCACTTCACTTGCTCAGATATCCAAAGCATAGCTTCACCCGGGGCTATCAATCAAAATATGTCAGGGAGAGAGATCCTGCCTGTAGGAAAGCAGTTAGAGCGTGAAGACTGTGTTATCCAGCTGCCTCATCTAACGTAGCTCCATCCCCAAACAGTAAATAATGTACATGTGGTGGGCATGAGTCATCGCAACCGCGTCAGCGGAGCTCCCTGCTCTGCACGGTTTACGCATTAAAGTGTAAATGAAAGAGAGCTTTTATTATACATCGAATCCGTACGAGGGACCATTCCGAGGCAATGGCTTAGTGCCGTCTCCTCCGGTTGGGCCGAGAGACTGCGGCACAAGAGGAGAGCGGGCGGAGGGAGGCTTTGCCATTTTTAGCAAAGTGAGCCCATAAACCGGCGCGCACCCTCTGTGTCTCCCGGAGTCACGCCGTCAGCGAGCAGCGCCCGGCTGTCGTCCGCCTCAGGCCGCCCCTGTAGTACCGTTAGGAGGGGGCTGCGCGGCGCCCGCCCCGCAAGGCTGAGGAGAAGTGCTGGCGGCGGCGCCCCGCCCTGAGGCGCCGTCCCGCCTCGGAGCTCAGCGCCTCCCGTTCCCCGTCGAAGGGGCCGCACCTGGCCCGGCCGTCCTTCCCAGCCGGTCGGGGGGAAGTTTGCGGGAGGGACGAGCGCAGCCGGCAGCCGGTGCGGGGAGAGGCGGGGCTGGCTCTCCGACGTTCCTCCCGTCACACGGGGGCCGCGCGTGGGAGAGCCGGCCCAGGTGGAGGGAGTGTGGCTTGTTGGGGCGGGGCGGGGGAGGGGACGCGGGCGGGGACGGGGAGCCGGGCGATGGGGAGGGAGGTGGAGGCTCCGGAGCGCCTCGTCCCCTGTCTCGGGCTCTGACGTGCCGCCTCGGCAGCGGCCCAGAGCTGCCCCCGGGGCTTCCCCGAGCGACTGTGGGAAAAGGTGCCCCGAGAGCGACCGGGTGCCAGGTGAGCGGGCTGCGCGTTGGGGTGCTCTGGCTGTTTAGGGGTTGCGCTTTGCCTTTTGGCACCCGGGCGCTACCTGCCGCTCTCGGGAAACTTTGTGCGGTGTGCGAGCGGCCGAGGGCGGCTGGTCTGTTTGGCCAGGAGCCGGGCTGCTGGCAGCGGGCTTGTTGTGTGTGCGCTGAGCTCGTGAGTCAATATTGATTTGCGGGACTCAGGTATTAACCGCTCGCGTCTTAGAAGGCTCATTAGCGGTGACTCGTTTCCATGACAACGGGACCCCTCTGAGGCTTCGGGGTTATCTGTTTGCCCGCCTTCGTCTCTTTCCTGTTCGTGAGATGGACTCGTGCCACTGTCATGTTTTGCCGCCGAGGAGAAAAACAAGCAATAATAGCGGAGCGATCCGCGGCCCCAGTTCAGCGTTCCCGGCTGCGGTGCCTTCCTTAACGATGCACGGACGGGACTGAGCAGCAGTGTGAGTTGCGCTAGATCTCTTAGTGTTTGTTTTACTTCTCTAGCCATAAAGCTTAGACTAAAACATAGTTTGAATCGTCGCTTGCTCCGCTTCTTCAAGACGCGAGAAGTGCGATGTTCGTTGTCTTTGCTTGTCGTTGACCCCCTCCCCCCGGGGCGGCTCTGTGCTGGGATCTCTGTAGTTTATTGCTGCAGCACAGAAGCGAGGATAGGCTTATTGACTTCTTGTGTAACTTTGTCACCTTCTTGTGGTGTGACCTTCACAGGTCCTTAACTTCCCTGTAACCTCTGGGGTCGTAACGGGAGGAAGCGCTGCTTGCTGATACCTGTGGTGCTCTGAGCTAATCAGGCAAACGGTTCTTCTGAGGTGAAGTACTGTTACATTTGAATGTATCGTTTTGTTATGAGTAGTAAATGCATCTTTTGTGTTCCTCTTCTGTAATGACCTAGGTGCAAATCTCACCCTCTTTTTTTCTTTTTTTTTTTTTCTTTTTAATTCCTATCTTTATTTAATATAGGGTAGTCGCCTTACCTCTTCAAGATGCTGTGTCCTGTCATTATCCGGCTGAAATCAATAATTCTAATCCCATTTACACAAACAACCAGTCACAGCCTTCTTATGTTAACTGTGTCAGGTTCGGGTAGAAATGGAACTCTTTGGGAGTTTTAAATTTGTAGAGATGTCAACTATGATAAAGAGTATATCTCTAGGAAGGAGATGAAATAGTAGAGAAAGAAAAGTCCGTAGAATTGAATGATAATCTTGGTCACTTGTCTTAGAATTGCAACCAAAAAGGGGCTAAGAAGCTTTTGGGTTTTTTTTTTTTTTTTTTTTTTTGAGAGAGAGAATAAGCGCACACTTTTAACTGTATGTTGTTAAACATCTGAAATGATTCAACCAGTTTTCATAGTTTTCCAAGAAACGTTTTATATGTAGCATTCTTCATAGAAGCATTAAGAAGGAGTGTGTAAACGTTTTAGGATATACATTTCTAAACCTCACCAGTGCCTGACTGATGTTCAGCAGTAAGAATCTGAGATGATAGCAGTAGTAAGTTAGAATAGCAGGGGAGCTTCCATAGGAAGTGTACATTTCTTTGCTGAAATGCTCCTTTCAAGTGAGTAAACCATATCTGTTCTAAAATACGCATTTCCTTCGTACCCTGAGGAAGAGCCTATCCCAAGCTCTGTTCAGCAAAGTGCTAAAACATATGCCTCATTCCTAATGCATTAGTGTTCTCTAATATCAGCAAACTGTGCTTCCAGCATTTACTTAAATATTCTAAAGAATCAAGCCTGTGACCTTGTCTTCTTAGCAGCTTGGCAGTGAAACATCTGTCTGAAAATATCTTCTATGAATTGAGGACTTTCTGACCATTGCCAGCCCTAGTGAAGAAACTTAATGACAAACCTACATAAAGAAAGAAAAAGAAATGACATCTGAATATCTCATCTCCTTTAGTTGTCATTGAATTATGTTTCTATATTGAACTATTAAATTTTTACTACTTAGTGCTGCAGTCAATGCAGGTAGACAGAAAGTGAGCCAGGTTTTATTCTGTGCATTATGTTTTCTGTAAAGCTCCTTATAGTAGTAAGAACAAAAGATATTCCATTTCACTTCTGAGACCCTGGTTGCTATGAGAGGGTGGTAAATATGTATTTCTTAAGACTGATAACAGAGTGGCAAGAAAGATACTTTCTATAAAGTCTACATGATTTCTATAGTTGGTTTTGAGAATACTGTTCTCTGAAGATGTCTAATTGTATGAGCTGATACTGCTGAAGGTGTTCTGTTTGAAGAAGCAGAGAGGAAAAAAGCAAATAGATATGGAGACTAAACCCATAGGTATGGATGATAACGTGGGTTCTGTATTTTACTACACCAATGTAACTTAGTTATAATGTACTGGTTATATATATATTTTTAATAAACTAAAGTGCTGCTGGGAACGTTCATTTCCAAGCTATGTATTGCTCAAGCTGTATGTTGCTTCAGCTTTACTGGCATGTAAAAGTAAACTTAGCATTGTTTCTCTGGTGTTGGAAGTCCTTCAGGTGGTTTGGGAAAAAAGTAAATACAGCAGATGGTTGAGCTACTTTCTCTGTAACTGATCTGCTTTGGGCATATTGCTTTACACCCCTATTTCATCTTTTCCTTATTCTCTCTACTTATCTTCAGTCTTATTTGTTTGGAGTGTAGGTTCTTCAGTGTAAAATCTTGTTTTGTGCAGGTATGGTGCCCCGACAGATCTCTGTTGGAGCAGCAAAATGTTACTGCAGTACAATAGTGAGAAATGATAGGCTACATTTTTCCTGTATCAGTCACCGAGGTGTTTGCATGAACACTTATTGCTGTCTGAGAGGCAGTAAGATTGTTACAGATGAGTGTGAAGGTATAATGGAGGAATTGTTTCTATTGCTAGAGACCCTTTTGTTCCTTCTGTTGCTGGAGAAAAAGTTCACAGATATAGAATTTGAGTAGTGGCTCACTCCTGCTTTTCTTGTATGTGTATGTTTGTTGTCAGGGCAAATGTACTAGACTTATGGAGGTAAAAATAATGCAGTCATGCATTTAAGATTTGCATGTTGGTGGAGTAGGCTCATCAACAGCAGAATCGAGCACTAAAGAAATGAAGTAGAATCCCTATTATTCATTTATTCATTCTTTCTCTTTTTCCTGTATTTGTAGGTGGGAGAAAGGCAGATGAGTTTCCAAGTATCCTATTCAAGCTTATAAAGCACACAGCTTCATATAACAGCAGTAAGTAATAGCATTAGGCAGGTATGAGAGCTGTCACTGTATTATTCCAGCTGGGAGCTTAATTATGCTCTCGATAAACTACTGTAAGAATGTTTATACTTCAAAATATGATATACTTGGGGTAAATCCAGCTACGACTTTTTTGTTTGGTCTTTTCAAAATTACTCTCCTAATGGACAGTGGAGATTTCTGATAAACTGGGCTTTTAGGCTGAGGTCCTTTTCCAAAAAAAAAGGTTTACAGATTAGAACTGATTTTTTTTAACTAATCACATTTCTGCTGTAGATAATAGATTGACTTCTTTTGTCAGGATTTAACCGAAAAAATAAAATAAGGCGAGGAATATATTTTTGCAAATTATTGGAAGGTGAAGTAAAGCTCTTCTACTTTGTTCGTTTTATTCCTTTTAAAAATGAGAACTTTAACATACGTAGATCTAGAAAAGTTCTCTTTTATCTTTTCATTTATTTGCCTCATTTTTAATGAATTCTGTACAATGATTTCAAAGTGTCTAGAATTTTAAGGCACAAATATGAAACAACCCAAAGGATTTTTTTAAGATATCCCTGGTGGAGAAAAGGACAGGTCTCTAAAACACCTGATGTTACATATCTGCAAGTTGACCTGTGCAAATTCACTGGTGACTCTGGAAATTTTGGACCTGGATCTGTTTCCTACTTACAAAATAGATACAAGGGTACATCAGCTCAAATTTGTTACCTCCAAATTTTGTTGCTCAGACAATGGAATTCAGTGGCTGTAGGGCTCAGCCAGTGATTAATTTGTACATCACTGCAATATAAGTTATAGGAACTCTGAAGGGAAAGGCAAAACTTCCTTCTCACAAGGTCCCACTGGGTGTTATATGGACTCCTACATGAAAGGAGCAAATGCATGGAAGCTTATAAGGACTTAAAAATTCAGGAAGGCATAAGGTCTGTGAAGACAGACATTTCAAAATACATGTGCAGATGCTAAGGCTGTGGGTAGTAACAGTGGCGTTAATGGTCACGAGAAGCCTGGCACAAGTAGAATCAGACCTGAGAGCGAGTTGTCTGGGCTGCCTTACTGCTTCAGAAATGCCAAATAAAACAATCTGTTTTCAGAGGCCCTGAAAATAAAGCTATTTGCTGGCTTTTATAGATTCCCCAGTGTGGAGTGCGAGTGTTAAGTTATGCTTTTAGTGCTAGTGGTGGCAATGGTGATGAGGAGACAGTTGGACTAGATGATCTTATAGGTTGTTTCCAACCTTGTGATTCTATGATTCTATGATTCTAAGTCTTCATGATCTGCATGCCTTACTTAGCCTCAGTTGTAAAGAGTTCATCTTTCTGGGACTGGAAATGTCTGTGGTGTGTCTGATTCAGACAGGATGTTTCTTTTCAAGAGAGAAGCAAAAATCACGTGGCAAACAATTTGTGTTTGAATGCCAGAACGTACGATATGGCAGGTAATAACCTGTAGACTTAAGAATCCACTACCATCTTTAAAATCTAAGAACAGCATAGTGCAACTTTTGGAGCAGTTAACTTGCTTTAAATCTGATTTTATTTTTTAATAATGGTAAAAAAAAAAAAATAAAGACAAATTAAGACTATTAGCAGTTTCCCCAGTACAGGACAGATTTCTGCCTTTATTGGCACCCTACACGCACATACCTGGACACCAAAATGGAAATGAGGAGGAGTAACACCCCGCCCCCAAGAAATCAGTACCAGCATGCAACACAGATAGTATTGCCCAGGTACACCTCAATGCCCCCTGTCACTGTAGAAAGTCTACAGAGGAGCCACTGAGTATTCACGTGACATCACGTCCTTTTGATGCTGATGCTGCATCTGAATACCTTATCTTCAGCTGGCAGAGAACATCGCTGCTTTTATGGTAGGGCTGTTCTGCTTCATTTCTTCACTTGCAGGAGATAGGCTCGGAGCACAACAATAGGTGGATCTACCTGGCAGTTTGTGCAGGATGGAAGCTAAGGTGCTGATTTTCTCTGTTCTCTGGAGGTAAACAGGGAGAGATCTAACGTCTGTGTGTGCAGCAGCTCCAGCAGCAGCATTCGTGCTTCTCCCTTTGAGTCTCTTGATTTGTAGGTTGACCTTTTCGCAATGGTGAAGCTTAGCAGGCCCACACGATTTTGTCACTTTATGCTGGGATGTCTGATGTTGCAGACAGGGAGTCTGTTCCCGTTCTATTTGGAGTCAAGGGCAAAATTCTCACTAATTTCCATAGGAACAAGTTGTGTTCCTAAACATACTTCAGTAGCTAGAACGAAACTTCCTAATAAAGAACCAAACTATAACACTGAGCATAACAGTGAGCATTGTTTTATGCTTCAAACCCCTCGACAGTAATATGCTTGCAGACCAAGCATTGCAAGCAACAAACCTCAGGGCATTCCTAGAAGGACTGTGGAGGATTGCCAGCTCTCAGGCTGTGCTGAGAAACAATTGAGTCTTGATCATGTTACTGATAAAAAAAAAAAACCAAAAAAACAAAACCAACAACACTTATTCTAATGGGCACTCTTCAGTCCATTAGAATTCCTTCCTGATACAATCTAAAAGCAGTGAAGTTTTACTTAGTGGCATTACACAAAGGATTCACTACCTCAGAGAGAAAAGGCAGAGGGATTTCTGTTTACCTGGAGAAGGAAAAGGCCCAGCACTGATGGAGGAGACATCTGAAAGACACCAAGAGAAACTTTGGACTGCATCCTGTTGTCTGGAGTTGTGATACTTCAGACATATTCCTAACCAATTGTCCTCCTCTCACATTTGGGTATTAGTTTTTTTCTTTTTCTCTTTTTTATTTTTTTCCTTACTTCTCTTAATCTTATCTTTGCTGCATTTCCTATGGCTCACGTAACAGAGATACTTGTTCAGTTACAGGCTGAGAGGAGCTGAAGCGAAGTGCCTAGAACCCATTGGAGGAAGGCAATTAAAAAAAAAAAAAGTATTCTGCAGAACTCTGCAGCTCCATGAAAGCTTTTCAGAATCTCTGTATTTCACTAATTTGTTGCCAGAGGGCTACTGTGCTGTACAAAAATGTTAAGGTATAAGGAGGTAGTTGTCTGGGTCATTTACTTTGCACATATGTTGTCTTTGTAGCATTCCCAAATACGAAGACACCAGGACTAATTTTTCCATACCATTTTCAGCCTGTAGTAATTTGAACACTTTTTTCATTGTTAAACATGCTTCTTCTGGTAATCTCTCATCTTGTGCTAATTTGCTTTTTTTGTGGTGAGAATATGAGAGATTTTTGTATTCTTGCCCCACTCAGTACTAGCAGTGTCAACCTCTGACCAACAATACTTACACTTTAAAATTATGTCACTTTTGCATTATCTCACTTCCAAGACAGTTCATCTTACTATTCAAAAACATAGGGGAAGTTCTGCAGAGGTAAACTTTTACAAGGAAATTTTATTCTTTTTAGATACTTCATCTTGAGTGAAAAATATGAATTTTCAGTACATGATAACATTCAAAACACTGGATTTTTTTTCTACATGGTAAAGGATGAATTCTTGTATTCTGTCTTTTTTCTGTCTTTTTTTCTTTCTGTCTTGTCTTTTCAGAATTACCATGGTGTGTAGTTTGGAAGGAATGCTACCGAAATAGATTAAATGAGAAGTTATTCACACAAAATATCTCCCAATAAGGGAACTGAATACAAACCTGATTGACTGATATACTGTAAAGTTATAAAAGACAACATAAACCTAAAGGCAGAAATAGCAATAACCCACATGGTGAGAACTTCATGGAGAACTTAAACTATCCAAATGATGGGAAACTCAACAATTATGTCGTTATAGGACAGACTTCACTACTCTTTTGTGAAAAATGTTATGGCTCATTCTTAATGTTTTTAATTGTACCAAGTGTTAAGTTCCACTTACAGATACAGACATATAGGAGCTCTAATGTGAATAAAGCACTAGTTGCATCTATGGTTTAGTGAAAATATTGAGCATTGACATACTGGGCTAGAACTGAAAAGTCTTGAGAGAGTTGGGTTCCGGCTGTTCTCCATATTGGAACAATGTTTCTGAAGTAAGTTTTGTATAATCATCCTTGTTATCTTTTTTTTGATTGTGTGGAGATTGAGTAATTCATTGTGATCCTGTTGTAGAGTGTAGTGACACAGCAGTATTTCCCTGATTAAGACACTGCTGAATTTTCATACTTAGAAGTAGTATTGGCAGGGATTTAGAAAGCTGGATTCTAGCCAGAGAATAAACAATTCGCAGAAGCCAACTATGCAAGAAGATTCTATATACACAAGTCAGAGACTGTTAATTATTGCTTTGCTTTGCAGGCTCTCTTCTGTGTTTGGGCAAATCTACTTCACATGGGTGAATTCCCATGTGAAGTAACTCAGTACCTATGCAACCAGTGCAGGGGTATCAAGGTATGAGCCAGTGCAGTGGCAAATGAAATGGATCCTTTGGGCTCAATGCTTTTCTACTTCTAATCTGTGATTCACAACAGTTCAGAAGTTGTTCTATTGCTAGAAAAGTGGCAATGTATACAAATCATACACAGTCTGCATCTGTGCTGCAAAGATCAAATTCAGTCACTCTTAGCGCTATTTTTCATTCCTATTCTTCTTTTTTTTTTTTTTTTTTTTAAGACTGTGAACTCTGCCATTCGTCTGTTGACTGTAAAGGTGTATACTTTATGTAAGAAACTGGCCCACATCATATATTACTGGTATTCACTTTTTAGGAGCCTCATAAACAGAACTGTGTTTAAAAATTAAAAGCTCGTATTGGATAAAAGAAACAATTCACTTTTTTTTTTTCCTTCCCCTTCTCCCCATTCAGAGTAGAAGAGCGCAGGTGAGGAATTACTTAACAAGTCTCAAACTTTTATTTTTAATTTGAAGTAACTATTTTCAAGACATAGACCCAAATTTTATAAGACTGTGGACAAATTCCTGTTTATTTGAATGGAAGCAGAGATGAGACCCAGGTGTGTGAAGAATGT